CACTGACATTTTTTGCGTTCGAAAATATTTCTCCGACTAAATGTCTTCTACTATTTATTATATATGTAGTTACAGAAAAAATTAAAAACACTTAAAAAAGTATCTTAAAAATAACTACAAAGTTACTTCTAAGATATGTACCTACTAAATTTTTGCAGTAAATCCATTGGCTGACCATACTCTCGTTTACTACTTAATAATAAGAATTAAAAGAGTTCAAATTATTTCGACTAACTCTAACTAAGTTTTTTAATTGCAAAATTCTTCTGCAAAATTCAATTACTTTTAAAAAAAATCTGTTCAAAATTTCAATTATCTTTGTGAATAATAAAATTCTTCTCCAAAATCCAATTATTTGCAAAGAATTTTAATAAAATTCTTGTCAAATTTTCAATTATCTTTATAAATAATAAAATTCATCTTAGAAATTAAATTATTTTAAATATTTTTTTTAATTTCTCATCAAAATTTTAAATATTTTCATAAATAATAAAATTCATCATGAAAATTTAATTATTTTCAAAAGTTCTGATAAAATTCTTTGCAAAATTCAAATATCTTCAAAAGTAAGAAAATTCTTGTCAGAAATTAAATTATTTTCAAAATTTTTTTTTAAACTCTCCTCAAAATTTCAATTATCCTTGTAAATATCAAAATTCTTCTGCAAAATTCAATTACTTACTAATGTTTTATAAATTTCTTCCTAATAATTCAACTCGGGCATCTTTAATTATTATAAAACATGAAGACATCGATTGCTCCGAGTCGAAGACTCGGAGTGATCGATTTCTTCATGTTTTATAACAATTTTTTATAAGTTGTTTAATTTCAAAAAGGTTTGAATTTGAATCTTTAGAAAAATTTTAATTCCTATGGAAAAATAATAATTAAATATTTATTTAACCCTCCGTCACACACATGAGTAAAAATCACGAATTTACACACGTTTAGAGGGAATCCCTCACCACATTGTAAAATAAGCAACATTACAAAATAAACAAAGGAATCAACAAAAATTTAGTTTTAACACAAACTTACAAATATGAAGTAAATTATTGTAAATTATAAAATTAATCAAATTAATTTTCGGTCTCAAAAATAAAAATTAATTACACGAATGCACATCTTCGAAGGAATTCCACTTGACATGTAAAAATAATGTAACATTAACAAATAAGCAAAAAAAATCATTAAACAATTCATTTTAATTATATTTATAATATAATTTTGTCATTAACCAACAGTGGAACAAAAAATGTTTTGAAAACTTGATTTTTTTATTTAACATAACCTCACTTTTTCGAGTTTTTTCTGGCTTTGAAGCTTCATAATTGAATATTAATTATGTTTAAACTAAATGTTTTTTTAGAAATGTGTTGAGGAGTAAATTGTCGAAAGGTATAGAAACTGATTTTATTTTGCAATGAGGAAAACAAAAGTTATTTAAAAAATACTGAAACCGTATAGAGGGAATCCCTCCTTAGGTGTGTGACGGAGGGTTAAAAAAGAAGTTATTGATGTTTTCGAAAAATTTGAAAGAAATTTGTAAATAAATGTAACAGAACATTTTTTTAATCAAACTTTTTCCTTTAAATTTTAAAAAAATTTCAGTCGCATTTTACTAAAACAAATCTCCAAAAAATCGATTAGTAGCATTTTTTCACAAAAAAGTCGAAAAAAGTCGAAAAAATCGCACAATCCGAGCCCTGAATATATAGTGTTATATACAGGAGTACAATCTTAACATGTCTAAATTTTATAGCAGTTTAAATAAGAACTCATCCAAAAAGATTAAATTCTAAAAAACAAACGTATTTTAAATTCCTTTCTTTATACAAGTATATATATTCTGTTTGCTTTAAAAGCAATATTTTTAAACTGAGTATAATGAGCATAGAGAAAGGAAAAATCGTGAGATCGTTAGGGGAACAATTACTTTTACCCCTGAAGCATCTGAATTCAAGTTTCACACCGTGACTCTTTATATATCTAAATACATATATATATATATACATATCGTAGAGTAGCACATATACACATTGTTGCAATTTTCAACTTTTCTATGTCACTAAACGTTATGTATCTCCTCTCAAAAGAAAGCACAAAGAATACAGTTAAAAGTGCGATATAGAGAGATTAATTCTGAAAAATTCTTTTGTAGTTTTCTGTATTTAACACAAAAAAATGTGTCACTATATCTACATTTCTTTGTTTTATTTCTTCGTTTTCGTTTTCATTTTTATTTTCATTTTTGTTTAGTTTTTTTCTGTAAAATAACTAAGCTCATTGTCACTCCTTATGTGAATAAAGTAAAAATAAATGAATATTATCAATAAATTAAAAAATATACAATAGTTTAAAACAAAAATGTTTTACTCTAAAAAAATATATAAATATAAATAAATACATTATAATTATAAACAACCATAAATCCATTTAATCCAAAAATACAAATCTAAAAAAAAATAATTCCGCTTTTTTCAACGTGTACAAAAATGTGAAAACTTGACGTTTACTACATGTTTTATAAATCTGTTGTGCTTACATCTATAAACATATATAAATATACAGAAGTAAAGAGCATTTATTTTAAACTCTGTGATAAAAGAGACGTAACAGACGCTAATAATTAATTCCGGTCACAAAATTATACACACTTTATATATGTTTATAATCCAACGTTGGCACAAATTCCCCGTTTCACTAATTTTGCCACAGTGTGCGATCTGTTTTTTTTACCCAAGAGCATTACGATTTCATGAAAATTTTATTTTCCTCGAATGTGAATAAAAAATAAATACTTGAATAACTTGACACTTCTTTTTTCGTTAAATACAATATCAAATTGGAACAATATTTTTCTTTATTCACTTTCTTTCTGTTTTCGCCGAATGAATAAATAATATTTTGTAATAAAAGAATTATATTAGGTATAATTAAAATTATATAATGTAAATAAAAAATTGAATAAATAATTATACATTTTTATATTTATATCATAATAATCAAAATCCACAAAAATAAATTAACACTTCTATCAGATATATTGTTTAATAAGAAACTGTAACTTCAAAATTATTTTCATCATTTCAATTCAATTATTATTTTCTAGAATTTTTGAACTAAAATTCTTCTTTAAATCAATTATTTTTAATACTTTTTGAAAAACTTCTTTGAGAATTTTCAAATCCATTTGTTTACAATTCAATTTTACGAATTGTCGATTATTCGGAAATTCTTAATTAAATATACCTATACATCAGAAAATAAAAAATTCAACCAGTTTAAAAAAATGCAATCATAGATTTAAAAACAAAATTAATTCTACAGAATTGTCAGTAAAAACGTTAAAAGTATGAAAAGTTCAGATTTTCAAAGATTTTAATTTGGTTTCCAAAATTTAATTATTTCTAAAAATTCATAGTATTCAATTTTCTAAAATTTTAACTGAAATTCACTTTCAAATCAATTTTTATTAAAAAATTTCAATTATTTTTAATACAATTTTAATCGAATTCCTCGAAAAATGTAATTATTCATAAAAATTTTATTAAAATTCATTACGAATTTTTATTAAAATTCGTCGAAAGAATCCAATTATTTAAAAATTTGTTGATAAAATTCTTTATAATAATTTTAGTATTTTGAGAAACATTCAATTACACTGTAAAAAAAGGGAGTTAAATTTTAACTCCCCAGGGGAGTCTATAAAAGTCGCACCCATTGGAGTGTTAATGCCAGGGGAGTTAAATAAAGAGAGTTAAAATTTAACACCCAAATGCTAACTCCCCATGGAAAAAATAACTCGCGCGGGTGTTGAATGAAGGGAGTTAGAAATTAACTCTCTTTTGGAGTTGATTTTTAACTCGAAAAATTTAACTCCCAACTCCCGAGTCCGTTAACTCCCTAAATTTTTTACAGTGTATTCAATAAATTATTTATTTTTGTATTTCTAATAAGATTTTTATTATTTATGAATATAATTGAATTATTGCGAAGAAATTTATAAAAAAAATTGTAAATAATTGATTTCCTGTGAATTTTTTATTATTTATGACAATAATTAAACGTTTGCGTAGAATTTTATTAAAAATTTTTATTAATAGGCAGTAATTGAAAATCATTGAATAGGGAAAAATTTTGAGATAATAGGTAATTTAAAATTTGCGAAGAATTTTGTTAAAAATTTGGAAAATAATTGAATTTTGGTAAATAATTTTGCAAATTATAAAGACAATTGAAATCTTGACGAGAATTTTTAAGAGAATTTTGAAAATAATTGAATTTCTGCAATTAATTTTATTACTTTTAAAAATAATTGAATTCTTATGATGGATATTGGTATTTTTGAAAATAATTTAATTTTGCAAAAAATTTTATTAAAATTACAAAATATAATTTTGGCTCAAAAAATGAATTCTCTTGAACTTTATTCATACAAATAAGTATTATAATACTACCAAGTTTAATTTAAATTGGTGCTCCAAAAAGTTTAATTTTAATATGGAATGGAACATACATATACATATATAATAATAATAATAATAATAATAATTAAAATGATATGTATATATAAAAGAGAGAAGTGCATCTGTGTAATTGCAGAGGGTGAATCAAATACGCGATGAGAGCAGCGCGCCGTCTGCGAATCGATAATTCTCGTTATTTCGGGTGTCGCAAGTATCATGAATATCGTATTCTGAGAAAAGTGTACGGAACTTGTGCTATTATAGTCAGGAAAACGAGGTAGCTAAAATAATTGAAATATGCCAGCGCGCTTTTTGACTGACGGAATAAGAAGTTTACTCTCGTTCTTTTACACATTTCATATACTGACATACATAAGTATTTAAGACCAATCGATAGAACTTTATATCAATTTTTATAAAACAATTTTGTTAACCTCTCACGAAACAAGTAAAATTTTGAATATTTAAACTTTGCAGTAAGAGAAATTTCACTGTTTGAGGGACATGATAATAAATTTTCAAAACACTCACCGACAGACAGGAAATTGATTATCAATCTTTTATGCTGCATTTTAATATTCAAGGAGTTCGTAGATGTTGCTATTTGTGTTTTTGAATTTCAATTCGTCTTTGTCTGAAAAAATAATATATTATTAATTGTTAAAGTCTGAAAAAGTAATTAGAGTATACAGAAAATAAATACTTTCGTACTTTATAATTTTGTTATTTTCTGACTGTGAATATTTATATGTATTTAATTTTAATTTACAAGCATTTATTAAAATTTAATTATTATTTGTATTTATTTGTTTTTAATGTCAATGTTTTGCATTAGATTTTTTTTTAATATAATGAACAATTGTAGTAAACACTTGTTGTAATCAATAAATTTTAACCCTTTGGGGCATAGATGTATATATTTGATCAAACTAATTTTACGGACATTTGCACTTTAAGGGGTTTGTAGGTTCACTGATTACAAATCCGAAATCAGATTATCAAAATTCAAAATGGTAGATGCAATATCGTGAGGAGACATATTTTATTTTATTTTTTCATATTCAAATCAACGAAATTAATTTATTTCTCTTTTTACAGAACTTGGAAATTTTTCATTTATATATCGCAAAAATATTTCCTTTATTTAAACCTGAATAAATATTCCCGAATATTAATTTTGTGCTATTACTTTTAATTTCAATTTCCCTAAAATTTGCAACGTTCTAAATGAACAAAAGTTTGTATTTAAATATTGAATTTAAAATTTGAATAGTTTGATAATTTCAAAAGTCCTGTTACTACCTATATATAGAATTAAAAAATAATTTGAATTCACAATCTAATTAATTGAGTTGAATTCACGAAATGAACTTTGTTAATAATTAATATTTCTACTGTAAAACAATATTATATAGTTCTATAGATTCATTTAAACATTTCACTCAATAGGAAATAAATAAAAAAATTCTTTTTCGCGAGGAGAGGAAATTAAAATATAAAAACACAAATCAGGAATATAGAAACCTGTTTATAATTTTTCATAATATTTTACACAATGGACATATTATAATGCATAACATTTTAAAAGAGAACAGATTTAAAAGGAATGTAATAATTAATTTATAAAGTATTGTTCGCATCAGTTTTCTGCAAAAAAAGAAAGAAAAAAAAACCAATATCAAACATCCACACATGTCAGTATTTTCCATTATGTATTCAATATAAACACAATAATAATTCTTCTTTGAATATTTCCATTAACAAAGAAATGACATATGTAGGTTGTGGTTGTTCAGCATTTATGTAACATTTAGATGTAACAATATAAACCCATTAAATATATGAATACGCACATATTTATATATAGTGTTATCACAAACACACAGCAAAATGTATTTATACACACGCAAGTGTCTCATATAACTAGAATGTTACTAGCACGCTTATCAAACGAGTAGACAAACGTTCTCCAGTTTCATACTCGTACACGTTTCGCAAGTTTAGTGTCTATGTACAATATATCCAGGTACCCTTGATGCATGCAGGACTCTTAAAATAGATAAATTCCATCTACTAACAAACATGTACACCAACACTAAACGCAAAAGTATATGCATTGCTTTTCCTTTCTTTAAAACTTTTTTTATCAAATTCCTTATTCATCGAAACAAAATTTATTTCCAAATATTTTTTATACGAATTTATTCTAAGCAAGCTTATTAAGTGACAATTAGATGGCTCCTAAATGAAAACATTATTTTTAAGGCTATGTTACAATTTTAATATTTATTATTTTTAAAGTGTAAACAAATTGCAAAAATTTAAGTTAATAAAATACGTGTAGAAATGGTGGTCGGGTTCTAGTGGGGACCTCACCAGTTTACCCCATTTGAAAAAGGGCTCCAACTAGAGAAATTGGTGGGGTTCTAGTCGATTTTGTCACGCTCTAGTTGATAGGGCCCCGACTAGAAGTTCTAGTTCACTTCTACCGGTTTTAAAAATTATTATTTTTCAACTTAACTTATTTATAATTGAATTCTCCATTCATATTAACATTATTAATGATTGTTGCACACGAAAAATCTCGTGCCTATGAGGGTTCGAACCTTGGACCTTGGGGACACCAGACGGATACACATACCTCTCGGCCATGATAGGTTGGATGGACTTCCGCTTAAAGTACATCCCGTTTGGAAATTCCGCCATTTGTCCCTATCTCTAGTAGGGCTCTCGCTAGATTCTGACTAGAATCTCTAGTCGAGAAAAACTAGTCGGGTTCCAATCTAATTCTAGTTAGATGATTCTTACAAGCATTATTTATTAAAAAAGTTTGCATATTATTTGATTACTTAATTTTTTAATTATTTAAACAAAATCTTTTATTTATTAAGTAAATTAAAAAAGAATAAACCATAAATAAATATTAATTATGTGGATATAATTAATTTTTATTAACTAAATATTGTAATATATTATTTATTATTATTATTATTATTATTTATTAAAACAATTATAGTAAATATAAAAATATAAAAAGTAATGTAATAAATTAGTTATGTTTAATTTTTCAATAACGTTATAGATATAATTAATTCATAATATTTTGAATTTTAGGGAGTTATTATTCATCACTCTTATTTAACTCTGCATTCCTAATGATAGTTAATAATAATTAATTATGACATTATTGAAAAATTAAACATTACTAATTGCAGTGCTTTTTATATTTACTATAGGGTAAGTGCGGGTATAGTCGGACAGTACTAGTAGTCGGACACTTTCGTGTTTTTTGTCAAATAAATAATAATGCATTGTGATAATTACTTTAAAAAGTATACTAGACGAATGTGTGAAGTTTATATTTTATTAAAATAGTGTTATTTTCGAAAATAATTAAACAAGAAATATTTTATTTAATATTTTAAAAATCGTGGTGTCCGACTATAGATACAACCATTTTCGAGTAGCGCAATGAGTAGCACAAAGTTTTGTTGACAATTAATCATAAATATTAAAACTTATAGGGTTTAAATATTATATTAATAACTTCTAATATGCTTTAATTCCATTTTCCAGCAGATAGCAATTAAAAAATTATCTTTTTTACTTTATAAATTCTAAATATCTGACAGATGTCCGACTATAGAAACAAGGGGAAAAAGTGTCCGACTACTCAAGCATTCGTAATTTTTTATTAAAATGTTAATATTTTATTAAATACTCAACTATTTGTAACAAATTTATATGATTTTTAATCCTGAAGAACTCCTTTAATTAATAATGTGCTTATAAACACAGTAGATATTTTCTATTTCAAGAAAAAAAGCATAATTTAAGATTGTATCCTTAAGTGTCCGACTACTAGTGCATTTACCCTAATTATTATAATTATATTATTCAATTTATTATTGTAATTATAATATTATAGCATCTTTTTAATTATTATTAAATACTTGCATTAATTGTGAAAAACATTTTAAAGTATAATTGCACATACATATCTTTTTAAAAAAAAATTATTTTTACGAATAATATTACAATATTTAGGTAATAAAAATTAGTTATACCCACATAATTAATATTTATTTATGTTTTATTCTTTTAATTTACATATTAAATAAAAGATTTTTATTTAATAAAATTGCTTTATTGGAATTTTTTGTAAAAATATTCTACAATATTTAAAATTTTGTTTAAAAAATGTTAAAAAATTAAATAATTAAATAATATGCAAAATTTTTTAATAAATATTGCTATTAAGTTTTTCTATCTATTAATCTGAATTATTTATATCTATAGAAAGATAATTTATGTATGTCATACTTGTACACTAGTTTGTCTAGTTTGAAATCGATAAGGTCCTAGTGAGTTTTTTCCAGTCTGAATTATCTAACTAGAATTTGATTGAAGCCCGACTAGTTTTTCTAGACTAGAGATTCTAGTCAGAATCTAGCGAGGTCCCTACTAGAGATAGGGACAAATGGGGAAATTTCTACACGGGATTGTTTTATTAAACCTAAATTAACTATAAATTAATAATAAAAATTCTTTATTTGGCATTTTATATTGGCTGAAAATAAATGACAAAATTTTTAAAAAATTAGCCTAAAAAATATTTAAGATGAATAACGCTTTTTCTATTTTTTTCGTGAGTTACGTGTTTTATAATTTCTCTCGCGAATAATGTGTTTTCATTTAGGAGCCATCGAATTATATATTTTAACAATCGACATAATTTGTCCTCACCTGTAGTTAGTGCTGATTTATTTAAATGTATTGTTTAATAGTTCAAATTTTTATGTTAAGAGATTGACAGTTTGTTTGTAAATAATAAAATAAGTGGAGAAAGAAAATTTAACTGCAATTTCAAAAACTCATGAAAGACTAGAGGTACAGTTGCAATTATTAAAAATAATTAATTATTTATGAATTAATTAATATATTTAAATAATTTAATTCTCGTAGTTGAATTTTAATAAGAATTTATTTTAAAAAAAATTTTAGTGAAAACTTTAGAAAATAATTAAAAGTGTTAAAATAGGATTCTTTATAGAAATTAGAAATAATTAAATTTCAACAAGTTTTTAAATAAAACAAATTATTAATTTGTTAGCTTCCTTAAAAACTAAAAGTTTTGAATAATATTATTCAAAAATTCTAAAAAATAATTGAATTTTGAAAGACTTGTAGTTCGAATTTTCATAAAAAATTTTTCAAATGGTTTTACATTGAAAGTAATTTGAAATTTTAAATAAATAAAGAATAATAAGTATTTAAATATTTATTTTACAAAAATGATTGAAATTTTGGAAAATTTAATTAGTAATTAGTAATTAAATTTTTTTCAAAATATACTTGAATTCCCGAAAATAATTTTTAAAAAATGAAACAATTTGAAATTTTGTAAAATTTTATAATAAAGAACTTAACTTTTCCATCTTTAAAATTAAATTTTAAAAGTTTCTTAAATAATTAAATTTTTTGAAAATTTAAGGGAAGTAAAAGTATTAAAATATTAAAATTTTTATTTAAGAAAATTATTAATTACATTATTTTTCTATAAAAATTCTTAAAGTTTTGAATAATTTTATTCAAAAATTCTAAAAAAATAATTCTCGACACTTGAATTCTAAT